CTTTAGTTTATAGTTTTAGGGATTAAATTGATTGAATTTAAAGTTTGGGGGTTTTAAGTAAAACTTAGTAGAAGTTGAATGACCATAACTCAATTATTTCAATTTTGCTTACCACATTGCATTTTCCCAACCAAGTTTTTTGGTCTTTGTCGGTGGAAGCTTGGATAAGCCTCCAGAAGGCTCCCAAAAGCCTCATTTGGTTTTCCTATGCCTTCCTCTTCCACCTCCATCCTTTTCTTCCTCCTTTCTCCAACCAAGGTTATGGTGCTTTTGTTAGGTAAGTATAAGTTTCAATTATGAATTTTGGGTTAGAGTTTTGGGTAGTTTAAATTGGTGAAATTTGACTTTGATCCTTTGGTTTATAAGATTTTTGGGTATTAAACTTTTATTAGAGATATCCTTAATTTTGGGGTTTATATGGCAAAGATAGTAAGTTAGTCCTTTCTATTGTTTGATTTGGGTGTGATTTTTGCTGCACGAATTATAAGTAAATTGTATTATTTACGAAATACTGTTCATGATACCATTCACAATTACTGTTCACAATTACTGTTCGTGATTACTGTTTACAATTACTGTTCATGATTACTGTTCACGCATTATGCTTTAATCTCTTTCGATATGAAGCCCTAATATTATTTTGGACATATTATGAAATTGTTTGACATGCGTATGTGTTTGTGGTTATGGAGTAAGTGGACCTAAGCTTAAAGCTTGGGGTATTTAGTGGACCCTTCGGGGTATTTAGTGGACCTCTGCGCAGTAAGGTTAGTACTGTGATTAGTTCCGGTACAGTGTTGCTAGCATACCTCAGTGGACTCCATAGCATTATGTGATTTTCGATTTTATGCATTGCGCTTGTGACATCATATTTGTGAGCATATGATTTTAGTATATGAATTCAATTTAGACATTGTGCTTATGATTTGAGAATTATAATATTATGTGATTTGATTCTGTTGTGTCTTATGCTCTTTGTGTGGATAAGTCTAAGGGTCTTAGAACCCAAGTTTATAGCTTA